TAATTTAGTTAGCAAATTTAATTTAAGCCTGAAAATGACAACAGTAATTTTTATTATTCTTTTTTATTGAACATTTTTCACGTTCATTTAAAAATAAAAAAAAACTTTACAAGGAGCACGTTGTTAAGTTGCAAGTACTTTCTCACAACTAATTCCTAATGCTTACTCTCCATTATTATTATAAGAAATGGTCTCTTCTTTCAAAACTCCGAAAAATTGTTGAATAGTCGAAAGCTTTTAATACACAAACCATCATGCATTTATACAAACTGACATTCCAATACATACATGCTATTTTAAAAGGCCACTAAATACTTCCACAAAAAATTATCAAATTGCTAAAATTGAAAGTTGTACATTCCTTAAAATGAAAATTTAATTCATTTACTTAAATTATTATGCAAATATTTTTGCATACAATAAATAACTTTTTCTAAAACAAGACTAAATTATTTTTTAAATCAGGCACAACTTCCTTTGTATACTGTTTTTGAAACACACCAAATTTATTAACAATATGTTTCTATTATCTCATCAAACGATGCTCAACACCACATATAATAGATGTCTATTAAAAACCTTCACAAATGTAGCTGATAAACACATTTAAGAAGTTTAAGAATATATTATATTAAGAAAATGAAATTAACACTAAACTCAAGCAATGAAAGGATACACGACTCGATAAGAAATGGCGTTGCTCCAAATGAAAACACACTGCCCTAGTTTCATTGCTGTTATACATTCACAAACACGGCCAAAACATACACATATATAAAGTAGAACTAAATACAGGCAACTACACATGACCAAGTTTTAGCCATTTAATACAAAGACACCAACCCAGACACTTGCAAAAGGTACGAGTAAAAAACACTCATACGCTATGGCAGGTCGACAACAGAGTTGCGTTCAATTTTAGTACTCTTTTTCATAAACACTTTTTAGGATTTTAAGATTTAGAAACCAACATAAAAAAAATTACCACATCAACTCCAAGACAATTTTTTATAATAGTTTTAATTTTGTAATACATATGCGTAAATAAAATGAAACCTTAATTAACACAATAGCGTACAATGTACAATACAATACAGCATATACAATACAAAAGTAGTACACTTAGTAGCACATATAATTGATAGTGTTGCCTTTGTAAATATATTTAAAAATTATATTACAATATTACAAACTTCAATTACAATTTTCGCTCTTTCTGTTTAAATGGAAAGAGTATTTATTTCTCAGTAAGCATCTACTCCCATGTAGTGAACTTTTATACACATAGGAAAAATAAGATTCACTGACACATATACCATTGAAAGTATATCAAATTCTTGCACCAAATCAACGTGCATACATACGAAAAGTTCTTTAAGTATGTACATGTGTGTATTATATAGATACGAAATGAAAAATAATTTTTCGAATTATTATACATTGCATGTTACAATACTTTTTAATATAACATATTAAAATTTTTTAATTTTTGCATCACTTGTTAATACATAAATTTCCCTTATATTAAAGGCGTTCTTAAATAACACATTGTACATAATTTATTTATTTAAAAAAAATCATCAAATAATCATTTTTTTCACTAAATATCAAAAATTTAAATATCAAAATTTTGAATATTTGAAATCAACATAATGTAGTCACTTAACAAATTAGATGTTATTTTAATATAAATTTTGACGATTATTTAATTTTTAAAAAGATATATTATATTTTTTCACTTTTTTGTGTGTGTATATTATAAAAAAAAATTTGATTGAATTTAGCTTTTTAATTATTTGCGGAACAACACGCACCTTTCTCATCAAAAGCGGCGAATACATCTGAACTAGGTTTTATGCTAAGGTACATTTTCACTGTGCAACGGAAAGCTTTCCCTTTATATTAATGCAAAGTTTCCGAAAGTGTTACAGCTTGAGTGCGCTGGCGCCCTTTTACTCTTTGTGTTTATTGTTTGGTTAGCTTAAATTTCCACTCTATAATTTTTCATAATTTTGTTTTGCTATTGCGTTATTAGAACCACTACATATGCAATTTAGGGTGACAAACAACATAGCGTGCAAAGTCACGTTTTATTTTGTTTACGTTTCTTTTATAAAGGTAACATGTTAACAAAAACTCTGTCAAGGCTTACGCGCGGTGACAACTAAAATTTTATAAACTCTTTGAAATGTATAACAGTTATAGGATGCATAATACAATTTTATAAGAATGAAGAATCATTAATTCTTGCTTTATATAACATAAATAGTCTCAAATATCTTTTATAAGATTTTTGAAATTTATTCTTGCTATTTTGAAGTCTCATTTCAATCTAACGTCAGAGAAATAAATTCATTTCATTTGTATACAACGCAAGTATTGCTAAAAAAAGATTTGGACCCAAAGTTAAAACCGGCACATATATTGTATCTTCTTTAGTACTTACTAATAAAATTCCTAGTGACATATTTATGCAAAATAAAATCGCCAAATAACTAATCCTAATAAAACTACTTATTTACTTGTACTTGTATTTTAATTCTTTTACTCTTTTATACAAACTGCCTATCTTCTAATAAAATATATAAATCTAATTACTTTGAACATTTATGCAGCATTATGTGAATCATCATTCACAGTAAATTGTGTAAAGTGCGAACCCCAAGATTCAAGAATTTAATCAGCTCCTAAGCTAATTAAATCTAAGCAACCTCTGTTGTTATACGCTCCTTAAGATCAAGCAGCTTAAAGGCGTTTAAGTGTGCTCGATAGTACTTTATTTGTATTTACTGTTAGTGTGTTCTAGCAGTTATTTATAAAACAGGGAACTAGAAAAGCAAAAGACGCTATATACTTTTGGTAGATAGAAATATAATTCAACAAATATTTGTTATATTTAATTTAATTTAATTTATACATTTAATAGCAACTAAGATAAAAGAATTAGTTCTTATTTAGGATTATATATACAACAAATATTTGTTATATTTAATTTAATTTAATTTATACATTTAATAGCAACTAAGATAAAAGAATTAGTTCTTATTTAGGATTATATTGACTTAATGCTTATTGAAGCATTAAGTTATGAGATAAGCTTCAGTAAGCCGATACAAATTAATATTCTACTGAATTTCAAATTAATTTTCATATTTTTGAATACCTCTGTTATAGAAATGATCAGACAAAGGTTAAAGTTCTTTTTCAATACTCATTTATTACTTTATCAGTACATATGTACTGATGTATATATTATTTACTATTATATAAAATTTTATGAAGTAGTCTTAAATTGATATTTTTCGTATTTTCGCTATACTGTTGAGAAATGCTTCACTTAGCACTGTATTCTTTCTACGGTATTACTGAATTTGGAAACTATCAATTAATATCTTTATTTTTAATAATGCAAAACATTTTTAAAGTATTTTTTAAAAACAATCAAATTTAATTGGTTTAAGTCAATTGCATTTCAAAGTAATTTTTATTAATTTGGTGGAATTATCTGATGTCATTTTTTATACCGGTTTGTGAAAAACTTTTCCTTAAGAAATACCATTGATATCTTTTTTAAATTTAGATTAATTAAAAGCATATCATTAGAAAATAGATTAAATAATAAAAAAATATCAAGAAAGTAAATAAAATAGTAGAATAGTAAATTTTTCTTATTAAAGAGTTTTTTTAATTTAATTTTTAAAAATCTTTTTAACTTTATTAATTAAAAGTTTATGTTCTTTAAAAAATATCAAGGATATAAATATCAAGATAAATATTTTTATCTTTTATTGAAAACGTTTTTACATATTTTACTAATTTTTTTGTGCTTATTTAATTTTGTTTTGGGAATTTCGAATTCATTACTTTTCTAATAACTGATCTTCTTTACTTATAACATTTCGAAACAAACACTCTTTCTCTATCAGATTCATGTACCTATTTAACTCCTATTTCATAAACTAGTTATATTTTATATTATAACAAAGTTTATAATTATTGAGGGTAGTTGAATCAGTGCACTTGAGCTCTTTTACTCTCTATTAACTGCGAGGTTTCTGCATAACGCCTCTCTATGCCTTGATTGAGTTATTGTTTATCGCTTCATCAGACTAAGCAATAACTGACCTCAGATCTGCATACCTGTCCGAGGAGCCCGTAACCATCATTTCACACAAATGTGCAGTAGACATTTTGTCTGGGCACACGTGGAAGTATTTTTATTTTCGAGTTTGCACACAAAATGTGATCTCCGTACTGTTTTTAGCACACGTTGTGTACGAGTGCAAACTGACTACCGCACGCACAAAGTGTTGTGCAAAATTATTTCGTTACAAACATTGAATGCGTGTGCGAGTTTTATTTCATTTCAGCACATTCGTGTGAAATATATATTTTATTTGTGCACTTAAGAGGTGTAGTTTTCTTTGAAAATAAAATTTTTGCACACCACATTTGTAGTGTAAAATTTTATTTAGATGCACACAACATTTGTTCGTGGTGCTTTGCATTTTTGTACACAGCACAGTGTTTTTATAAACCCTGAAAAATGGAACAGTCAATAATATAATTTTTCATCTAAAATGGATTTAAAAAACAAATTTTTTTTTCACTAAAAAAATTTAACTGTACGCAATGAGGTAAAGCATATCGAAAAGCGAATTATCAAAAAAAAACAAATATGTATTTTTCGTTTTTTCGTATGTTTCACTGTTCTCTAAGTTTTGGAAGTTAATATATAAGTACTTAAATTATTCTTAGACAATTACTGTCCCAGAAAAGATAAGTCCAGCTTTCTGAAGTACTATAAGTTCAAAAAGAGTCAGAATAAAAGTGAGAAGTAAATATACTTAAGGCATGTTCAATGAACCCAAAATTACAAAGTTGCAATTTTCCCACAGATTTAATATTGAATGTCTAATAGTTTGCACTAACAAAGTATTTATGGTTTTTTAACTTATTTCAATAAATTAACTATTAAGAATTCTTTACTGAAATGGATTATTTTATTAAAAGGCTAAACTATGTGGCAATTATTTATACAAAATTGAAAAATACATTAATTTCGCACGCAAAATACATTTGAACCACCACTGGTATGTTTAGAAAGAGTAACAAAAGAAACTATAATTTAATGTCATTTCATGCTTATCAATTTCATTTCTGTGAACAATGATTAATAATTACTTTTCTCAGGTGATAATATGACTGTAGTGTTAGGTGGTGGAATTTCTGGTTTGGCTGCTGGGTATTATTTCCTTCAGCGCTTTGGGCAACCACTTGCAATATATGAATCGTCAACCCGTCTTGGCGGCTGGATTCGAACAGAACAAAATGCTGAAAAAGGTTTTATCTTTGAAGTGGGGCCACGCACAATACGACCTAAGGGGCAGGCAGGAGCAAATACTTTGCAATTAGTAGAAGATCTTAAGCTAAATATTGAAGCACTTCCCTCAACACACGAAGCAGCGCGTAATCGAATGATATATGCCAATGGACAGCTTTGTTTATTACCAAATAGTTTAGGGGGACTGTTTAAAAGACTTCCTCCATTTAAAAAACCTTTAGCTACTGCCTTTTTTAAAGACTTATTTGCCAAATCTAAAAAAGTTAAATATGGTGATGAATCAATATATGAGTTTGCTGAGCGCCGGTTTGGCACGGATGTAGCAACATACGGTAATTTAAATATGTTATTGCTTTGGTTAAAATACATCATGTCATTTCATCGTATAGGTATTAGTCCAATGATTTGTGGTATTTGTGCTGGCGATGCTAAAGAGATAAGCGTTCGGTTCTTAATGGACGATCTTTTTGAAAAAGAGCAGAAATATGGTGGGGTCGTGTTCGGATTATTCGTTTCAAAATTAATTCAAAGTCTAAAAGGCGAAAATAGAACGCCTACTATTAAAACTGTACCATACTTATATGAACAATCACTGCGTGAAAAATGGAGCATGTATAGGCTAGAAAATGGCTTGGAAACATTGCCCCAAAAACTTACAGAATATTTAAAGAGCAAAAATACTAATATTCAAACATCTGCAGAATGCAATGAACTTGTTTTTGATAATGACAACGTTAAAATGAATATCAAGGGCCAGGAAATAAATTCTAAGCATGTGATATGTGCAATGCCCAGTTACAAGTTGGCAGATTGTGTAAAAGATCAACACCCATCGTTGTCGGCGCAATTACTCTTAATACCTTATGTAGATGTTGCTGTTGTTAATCTGATGTATAATGCAAATGATTTATTAAAACAGAAAGCATTTGGCTTTTTAGTTCCTCCAGTGGAAAAATTACCAATTCTCGGTGTTATATTTGACAGCTGCTGTTTTGATATGCATGGGAATACTGTACTAACAGTTATGATGGGTGGTAAATGGTTTGAACAAAATTTTGGTCAAAATCCAACTCCAAAAGAATTGCTTGATGTAGCACTTAAATATGTTGACCAAATATTGCACATAAATCAAGAGCCAAAATTGAATAGAGTTCATGTTCTAAGAAAGTGTATACCGCAATACACTGTAGGACACAAGCAAAGAATTATAAACATACGCAGCTACATTGATCATTACAAATTGCCATTATCTTTATGTGGGGCCGCGTATGATGGAGTTGGCATAAATGATGTAATATTTTCTGCACGAAAACAAATATTAGAATTGCGCAATCAAAACGAAATATAATGTTTAAAGTTTCAATTTTTTGTTTATATTTAATTTTTCAAAAGACTGAAAATATAAATGTTATTATTTTCCAAATCCTCCCAGACAATTAGGACTTGGTTGCACCACATAGCTAGAATCCCATTGTTTAGGCGTTTTTGCTTCTATGGATAATGCATGCACGAAGCCGCCACTAAGTCCATTTTTTACAATTTCATTTACTAGACGATGACGCTATTAAAGAATTAATATTAATAATACCGAATATAATTTATATTATATTAATGTACTTTAATAAGAGACAAACTCTCGAACATTTCCGACACTATTAACAACTTAAAATGTGTTTCTGAACCCTTGGGTACGTTATGCATGTGGGATTCGTTTAAAACTTCAAGATGTATCGGTTGCAGCTTTTCCATCAAAGCATTTCGTATAGCTGATTCTATTGGCGGAATGCACATACTTCCAGAATGATTGAAACGTACACAAACTGTAATTTTAGACTAATAAAAACTTTTACAAAACAACAGCACATATTTTACCATTTTTTATTATACTGTGCATTATTTAATAAATATGAGTTTGTTTACTTGCCAGAGTCGTATTAAGAATTTCAAAAAAAAAAAAATACTACTATTCAAAATAGTAATGTCTTAATTTACACTTACCTCAATATAAGAAATCAACACTTTTTACTTAATTGTGAAGATATTTTTTATTAAAAACATTATTATATGTAACAATATCAAATATGTAAAACAGTTTAAAAAATCATTTTTAATAATCAACCAGTTTCTTTAGCTTCGGAGGAGCAGATATAACAACCTTATTTCTTGTATTACCTACATTTCCAAATTCTTTTTTCAAGTCTTTTTGTGAAACAACACTTTCTTGAGTTCTCTCCCTCAATCTTTCCTTATGTCGTTCACTTTCACGACCATAATGCCTATTACGTTCCGAATATCTGTCTAACCGATCTCTGTATCCTCGGTGTTCAGGAGTTTTTGATCGTCTAGAACGTTCGTATTGATGCCGATATCTATCGCCATGCCTTTGCAATGGGCTGCGTTGGCCTCTCCGTAACGGACTACGCCTACTACGTGAGCGTGAACGTGTTCGACGCTTTGAAGCATGACTATAAGAACGACTATCACTACGAGAACGCATTCGTTTTCGATCCCTGCTGCTATCACGTTGACGTTTATTATGGGTTTCTTTTTCCTTGCTCCGAGAGCTTACTCTACATCGTAAGTCACGAGTTGTTGATTGTTCTTTACTACGAGACCGGGTTTTTTTTATTTTTGTTGTATTTTCATGTTCTGAATGTTCGCTGTCCGACCCTTTATCCGTAGAAGGTGTCCCGTATCTGTGACGTAGTTCCCGTTGTCTGAATATTTTAAAAATTTATGTATAATGATTAAATATATATATACAATATGCACATTTACCTTCTCCTTAATTTTAATGCAAGTTCGCGCATCTCATCCTCTCGTTCTTGTTGTAGTTGTCGCTCACGTTCTGTTTTCTCTATTTCGGCCCTTTTGTCAGCTTTATCTACAGTTAAAATTTTGTATTCACTTGATTTTCATTAATCTATTTTCAGTATCTTACATTGTTTGTTCAATAAGTTTTGCATTTTCCGTTTCAAACGTTCTCGTAAATTTAAACGGCTGCTTGCAGAACCCTGTAAATAGCCACTTCTCTCAATTAGTATGTATAAAAAGTAATAACGAACAAGTCTTTAACTGCTCGTATAAGAATAACTACAAAATGAATATTAAACAAAATCTATTTTGTCAGTAATTTTTAAATGAAAAAATATTGAAAACTATAAAATAAATTTCATTTCGTCTATCGTCTGTAAGTCTTTGTAAATTGTTAGTTTTTGCTAGTTTATTTTTATTTCTAGTTCTAAAAAATTCGCTGTCTCCAAATTTTTGTTGCAGAAATGTACTTTGATTATTCTTACTGACTTTGGTTTCTGAAGCATTAGATAAACTTGGATTTTTCGCCTGAGCAGTTGTATATTTGCCTGTTTGTTTACCAGAAGAATATGAAGTCGACGGCAAGGGATTAGACAGCTCGGAGCTGAAAGCAAAATAAAATCATATAATTGTGTGTTAAAATCATTTAAAAACGAAAATTTTTATATAATCTGCCATTTCTAAGCTCATGAATTCACAAATATGTTTGCAACTTTTTTTAAGTTTTAGATTTTTAATAGAATTAAAATGGATAATAAAAGAGGCTGGTCAACTTTACCAAACAATTCCTTGCGCTAACTTACGTAGTGTCAACGTCTATGCGATCATCAGTGTCGATCTCTTCATCACATTGTTGGAGTTTCAAAGTTTTTTCTGTATTATCCGATTCACTTTCCGAAGATGATGTGTTCTCACGTTTGCGGCCATAGTACCGCTTAAGTGGTGGAGGCGGCGGCACTACGATGTCTGGCTCTATCCCAACAGCTTTTTTCAGGTTTGGCACAGATGAAGCAAGGATAGAATTAGCTATGGCGCTTGTTGCATATGTCGACTGCGGATAACTTATGGCCGCGGATGTTATTACTTCTGTTACTTTAGGAACAAGAACTGATGCGGAACATTTTTCATGTGTAACAGTTGTTTTAGTATCTTTTATTTGTATATCCCCTCGATGAGATTTCGGTGTTAAGCTCCTTGATGTATATGATCTTCTACGACGACTGCCGTGTCGTTTTTTACTGTTATATTCATTAGAACTAACTGAACTTCTAGACGCTACGGAAGGTGAGCGACGACTTCGTCGTGATCTTTCTCTTGACCCCGATCTTGAACGTCCACGTTTATAACGATCATATGACCTAGATCTGGACCGCCGTTTACGCCTTTCATATCTATGAGGAGAATATTGTCGTTTACGAACTGGTAACTCATTTACAACTCTTAATTTCTCTAAATTTTCCTTAACTTTTTGTGCATACGTTGCCTGCGCTGAAGTAACACTGGAACTCGTATATGACTCACTTATTCCAACACCACCTTTACCAATGCTAATAGATATTTTAGAATGAGGCTGCAGTTCATCTTCAGCTCCAAATGATGTTATATACGTAATTTTTTCAGTACTGGCATCTGTTGGTGATGGTGAACGGGAATCACTGTCATCGTCTTTGTCCTTTTTTGTAGCATCTTCTTTAGCGGCATAGCTAGGAGGACTAAAAGGACGACATGCAATACGACGCTCTTTTTGAGCACGTCTTTCTCTTCTAGATTTTCTACCACTTAATAAAATTTTTTCTTGCTCTTCTTCTCGTGCTAAACGTAAAGCCTCCGCTTCGTCTGCATCTTTGGTTAAATAAGAATAAAAATCATTGCTTATCATGCCATAATTTCGTCCAAAAGCATTAAGTTCGTGTGCTTGACTTGTATCTAACTTTGTAACATCTATTGAAACGTCCATATCATCTATATAGGAGTCGGAGTCAGAATCAGACTCTTTATCCTGAATCTGCGATTGTATATTGTGCATAGTGTTTTGCATTAAATGACTAAATGGCTGTGGTCCACCTGAAGTGTGATCAACAGTCTCATAAGTGTATCCAATTGTTGCACCAGATTTCGATTGCTTTTTTTTACTCTGATTTCGCTCTGCCTCTAATTGTGCATTAACCCCATATTGTTCCTCTAAGTGTAGTTGATGTAAAAATTTTTCTTCGGGAACGCAAAGAAAATCATTTTGGGCTAAAATACGATATCGTTCATAATTACATTGTCTCTCTTCTAAAGCAATCTCTAATAAATCTGATTCCGTATTTTTCGATATCGGATATATATAATCCAAATGGGACCGTGCGTCAAAACGGTCAATCATATTATCCTGCTGGCCTTGCCATGGCATCCTAAAATATTAATATTTGTTACATTTTTGTCGTAAATGACACAATAAAAAAAAATTAAACTTTATTGTAAGACTTCGAAATATCACTTGCATTATAGCTGCACTATCACCAGCCATTGCTACAGATTGGTCCAAATGTATCTTGCACCTGCGTCCATGTATTTGAAGAAATTGAGTTGGATCTGCTTGCTGTAAAAAGTATTTTTAAAATTGACATAAATGTATGCAGTGCATAGTAAAACAATTTAGATAGGTAAAATATGTAATGTTGATAGAACTATATAGTTATTTTGAACTCACAATTTTTTCATAGAAGTCCTGTCGGCGTTCTGCTCGTTTTCTATAGTCGACAATCATTGTCTTAATGCGCCGCTCTTGCTTACGCGCTTCATGCCACATTTTTATTTACAAATAAATAAAGTTTTTCATGTAAATTATGAATCGAAGCTATTTTATTATTTCATATCTTATTTATTCAAAAAATTATTTAAATAGTCATTAGTTATAAACTATTTTAAATCACGCTGGTTTAACAAAACCAACAGTTTGCGGCGGCATGAAACGTCAAAGGGAAAATTGAAGATTACAGAGTTGCATTCCAAGTTTACAACTGTAGAGCAAAATCGATGTATTAACATATGTATTGAAGCATATAACTTACTATATAAGCCCTAAAAAATAATCACATATATATTTTTACTCTTTTACATAAATTTTTGTAACACGAATTAAATAAATAAGAATTAAAATCATTCAATCAAAACGAAAATTTAGTACATTTCAATTAGTATTAAATATTTTGAGACAATGGTAATACTTTTAAGGAGGACTTAAGGATATGAATAATTTTACATACATATATTAAAATTAATTTATTTTATTGTCGTTTTTAAAAAGTAACTAATATTATGTTATAAAAAATGTCTAGTAAGCATGATCGTTACAAGGCACGTGAAATAAATTTAATGGGCGATAAAATTCATAGAACAGAATCAATACATAGCAATGATGGCAGTGAAGATAAAGATGAACTAGATTTTTTCTTCCACGATGTGCCGTACTCTTCAAGCAGTAGTACCTTTTCAATACCGTGGGCAAACGAAGGCGACGCAATTAAACAGAATCAATATGATTGGGATCAAGTAGAAAATATGTTAAGTGGAGCTGCACCGTTGCCAGAGGAACCAGAACTTCGTAATGAAATACAGGAGTGGCAGCAAAAGTTTCCAACATTACTCATAACGTACAAATTTCGAATGGATAGTTCTAAAGATATGTTATGTATAAGTGGCACAAAGTTTAGTTCACAAGAGTCTCTAGAACTAGATTCCATATCGAATTTAAGCTTAAACGCATTTGATGGGAATAATAAAATATATGATTTCTTTAACAAAACAGATTACAAAAATAAACAAAAATTAAGCAGCCGTTTTGATGACGAAGATGCGGATTTAAATCTAATGAAAACAAATAACAATATCCCGGAATGTAAGGCTTTGGGATTAGTGTCTGTCCCAATAGTATTACATAAAAGATACCAAAAAAATAAAATAGAAACGTGCAAAAGTCAAAGAAATGTTTCTGCTTCTTGCAACCCTACATCATATGATTTCGGAGATATATATGTGTCTAATCCTGCCAACATAAATAAAAAGAATGTCCATATGCCACCTATTACAAATTTACTGGAAAAGAAAACTAATTTTGTTGACCTAAAAAAAAAAAGTTTTGTACAACTTACACAAGTTCAACAAGCCGAATCAGCTATGATTGCAACTAGCCGGAAAAATCAAAACCGAGAATATTTCCCACGTAAAGCACCTTTAACGACTATGGACCACTTGAATAATAAAAGCTCTATTATGTTACCTTCAATTAACGAATTATCAAAACAGCAAATAAATAAACCTGTAACCAATTCAAGTACAGAAGAATCAATGTACAACGTTTATGTTAAATCATATTCTGTAAAAAGAGAACCTCAACGCTTTGTGTCGCAAAATAATTTAATATTTAGAAGCCTATTCCCCGTGGCTCCACCAAGTGGACGTTCAATATCAGCAGCAATGCTGCACCAACGTCCTGAAATAAGGACTTTTTTACCAAATAGTGCATCAAAATTTAAGATGTTTAATTAGCAATAAAACAAATATATATATAATATACATCAATAAAAAAAATTTTAATGTTACACAATTTGTTAGAATTACTATTAATTTATAAGTGTTTACTTTATATAACTGTCTCAATATTATAACTGTAGAAATATTATATATTTAAGTTATCCAAACGCAACGTTCCTTGATTTTCTGTTAAATAAATTAAATCTGACAAAAACTGCTCAGCTAATAATTCTTCTACCCTCTCGTTCATCTGCAGAAAAAGAAAATTACTTGATTATAATTAATTTATTTAAAGGCTGTGGAGGGGCATACTCCTTTGGCATTATGCTCCATTAAAGTGTCGCCATACTTAAAGTTCGGACCAAAGTTAATGCTTACTGTTGCACTTTTGTGTATGGAGATAGTTGGATAATAAGAACCGCTATATATATCAACAAAAGCCTCTCCCTGAGATTGACCATTTTTAAAATATTCTATTTTACTGTTCGGCAGCACTCTCAAACTCTTAAGCGTTTCAGGTAATTTATCCTTATCTTCGTAGTAAAGATGAGATTTAAATTTAACTAGGGGCTTTATAATAAATAAATAAAAATTTAAATAAGTTATGTATATTTAACAATATAATTCCACATACCCTATCTTTAAACGTATTTGGCAAATAGTTGAAAGATCTTTGTTCTGGTAACACAATTAGAAATCCCAGCGTGTCACCCTCAACATAACCATTACTATAATGTTTTCCACGACTTTCGTGAAATCGTGTACCCTTACGTGAACGCCACGAATATCCAAATTTGTCGTATCCAAGTGGTGCTTGTAGATTAGCAAATTCTTGCCCCCAACCAAGACGAGTTGCAGATGTATCAGGCATTTCTTCAATAGTTACCTCAAAGTACCAGTTTCCGCGATTTACAGCTATATACCATATATAATAAATGCAATCTTATTTAAAAATCTTTATTATTTCAAGTACTAATTTTAACATACAATGTGTTGCGCGTACCATACAATAACCTTTCTCACCAGTAACTGCGAGACGGTCCTCTGTTATTTTTAATTGTTGTGCGCGATCATGTAACGCTAATAACACAGTATTCGGAACCAATGAACGGTATAGCCAGCCAGGTATTGGCTTACCAGCCCAATCAGAACTTTCGTCGAATTCTTGTCGGAAAGGCGCATGTGGATCAGGCTCTGCCAATATGTAGCGATAACCATCTTTGTTAAACGGATGATCCAAGGGATAACCATGTGCTGGCAATTTTATATTTGCCGTTACGTCTGAACTGGGTCGACCCTTTTTACCGGTTGGACCAGAATCAGTTCCAGGAAACTTTCGTTTATTCTGACGATTATTTTTAGATAAAACACCTGAAAAATCAATTAAATAATTTCTTTCCATTCCATTTGAAAACAAACAACACTAAAACAATAGATGCGAACGTGCCAATCAACATGTAACGACAAAATCCCAATTATAATACATGTATAAGTATATATTTTGTATGTGTAAGTTTAAAAGTATGAAACCTAAAAGTTATCAGCTATACAATAATCACAATATCCTAACACGAATATTCAATCGAGCATTCAAATTTGTTTAATTTTTATGTACTTTCATCGTCTCCGTACAACAACACGTCGTCGGCCATCACGATAATATTGTGATTCGTAAATTGGTTAAACTACTTCAACTTTGTGGACACTTCTAATAGCCAACAAAAACAAAGCGGTATTGCACATGCATCGAAAATCGAAACAAACGCTGCATTAACCAAAATAAAATATAAAAAGATAAGAATTAAAATTAATGACGACACCAAAAAGCTCAAAAACATATGCGCGTAGAAAAATTATACTATATATCAGTCAATGTAGATAATAGAAATTATTGCATTTAACACACTCACACACTTAAGAAAACAAAACAAATGACGCATCAGATCAGTGCGAAAAAGGTATATACTGAAGAACTATTCTACAGTTCTACATTGAGTGTAATGTTCTTACCTACTTAAAAATCGAACGCCAGCAGTTTAATTAATTTTTACAATTTTTATTTACAGATTAAAGACAATAAGCAATTGATTCTGTGAAACTCATTATAAAAATGCAATACAAATTATTTAATATGTACTGAAGTAATTAAAGCAAAAAAAATTCGATAATCTAACAAGTTTACGACAGAATCGTTTGATTTAACGATATTGAAATATATAATAATATTATACTTATATATTTATAATAAATATATAATTCAAAACTATACTGAGACTATATTCTCCATACCATAAAATAAAAAAAAAAGTGAACGAACCAATTGAATTTACCTTGTGTGTAACCATCTTCCATTAAGCGAAGTGTACCCATTTTTCCAACTGCTTCATAATTTGGTTTAATTTGTGAAAGATCTTGTGAAACTAGCCCAAACATTCCACCTCCCTCGGTCGTTTCCTCATACGTAAAAACAGTATTCAAATCCTTCATTAATGATCGTTGTACAGTCAAATACCTAATTTGATTTTAATGATTTCAATAATTTCAACAAATAATAAATATTTATTTTATAGCACCATGATTGTGTAACTCTTCTTGGCATGGTGTTCATAGACTCCCAATATAGTTCAATATATGGTATTATCTCCTTATCCTTACTGAAAACAGATTTATTAACTCCATCCTTGTTATTATTTTGCTGCATATTTGCAATAGCTGTCATACACATTTGTTGAATAGCTGAACATAAAAGATCCTTAAGGTAAAGACATTATTCAAGTATATAGTAATTGTATAACACGTACTTGCTTGACTTTTACGAAATACTTCCAAACCTGTTGGTGAACAATTCTTACAAATAAAAGCATAATTCGTCATAAACGGCACAAGTTTTCCAAGCTGATAACTTATACAAATCTCATGATACCATTTATTACAATTAGCACACAACAATTCCACTACGTTAAGATTTCTATCTTTGCCGCTGGAAATAAAATGTAAGGATATTTTTTCAATAAATTATTTGTAAGTTTTGCTCACCAATAGCAGTTTTCGCTGCCGGCTTTTTCTTCCACTCGTTTCTCTTCTTCTTGTGGAAATAGAGGAACATCAACTTCCAAATTACTTTCCTCCATAATTGTATTTCTAATGAAGGTATTTGGTTGTTAATCTGATTATTATAACGATTACATATATGATTAACTCAGAAACTGTTAAATATCATGTTAAAATACTTACAAGTCAGAAATAAATGAAGCGGTCTAGGGTATGTTCAGTAACGGCAAGCTTGAATGAGATGCCATATGAAAAGAAAATGACACCAATTTAATTAAGCTTTAGGCTGCGGTTACATTGCATGCGAATTTTGTTTTACGTGTTTGTATATATGTTTTCCCATGCGAACATATCGCATGTTACGGTTACATTGCTTGCGGATTGACAGTTCTGTTTTATTTGTTTTAAAAACAAGATGAATAGTGATGATGAAATATATTTAGCGGAAAACTGGTTATCCAGTTATATATTAAATTCATATAACAAAAGATAAATTTGGGTGCCTGATTTTTATTCCTATGGTATAAAAATGGAGATAAACTCTCTATTCCTTAAACAAAGAAATTAGCAAATTGAAATCCATTTCCTAAAAGTAGTTTATGTTTCTAAATTTTTTTCCAATTTATCTCTCAATTTTCCTATATACATCTTCCATTTTGCAGAAACACATGCATTTTAAACAAAATATTTTATTTAATCAAATATTCACACAAGAGAAACAACACGTCGAATGTTCGAACTGTTCATATTAACTGTTACCACTCACATATGATTACGTATGTTTGATTTATTCGTACGAACACGCAAGATAAAATTCGCATGCAATGTAACTGCAGCCTTGCAAACAGAATAGTGACACTTTCAACATGAAGTATGCGAACAATATTAATATTAGGTCTCGAACACGTCTCGATTAACATGCAAAGCAAAAACAAAATTCACAAAAAGAAGTCCACTTTCCTGAAAGTGCTCAACGAATAAGCCTCTCTAAGGCACTACAATGGTGCCAAATCTAAAACTGATCTACTGTGAATGATTTTTGGAAGAAAATTGAAATTTCAGTCGGTTGTTCATTATTTACAACTGTTGAGAGCGTTATATGGTGGTTATACCGTAAATATTTATTCTACATATAGTGAAATCTCGAATGCATTTAATTACTATTGAGCGTTTTCGGTGGCTCACAACTGTGGCCAAAAAGCCTGCTGGGCTTTATTCGCTAAGCGAGACATTGGCATCATTGTTGCCAATTTGTTGGAAGTAGCTGGGATAATTTGGATAGGAGACCCTCATGGCAAATACTGTCGGAGGCCTTTGCAACGTCAGATATGTCGCTGAGGCATATTGTTTTGAGAATATTGCTTGTTATTTTATTTACAACTCTTGAAAAGTCGTATAAATTTGTTAATGAACTTTCACAGCAAATTAACAAAATTAACTCAAAGCTTAGACGTATAAGTCCGGCTTTGGGTCAGTGGACACTTACTCTGAGCTTTAAATTTGGTAAGGCACGAGTTCAACCCTTGGTACTTGCAATCTCAAAAAAATGATTTACAAATAAGTAAATATTAAAAATAATTCCAAGACCGGGATGCAAGGGACAGAAGTGTGTGTCTCAATGGGAAAGTGATGCGAAATACACAGCCCAGCCTACTCAACAACCAACCTCAATTATATGTGGTGCATCCTGTTCTCTCATACGAGGCTCTGGCGACCGAGCACAGGCAGTATAACCCGAAAACATCTAGCAGAGGGAAATTTTCTAGCTACCAAACACCAATTTTATCTCCAGATTTGCAGGGAATCTGGTCCTCCAGGTTGGGGGTTGATCGCAAAATCAGCAGCCTCGCATCGGAAAAAAAAACAATCACTACGTAAGCTTCTTTAAAAAAGATGGAGGCCAAGGTTAACACTGTACTGTAGTGCCAAATAAGAAGAAGAATCGCAAGTCCACTGATGATGGGTGTTTAGCAATACTCGAAATATATATATGGTCTGTTAAAAATTAAATTAATTAAAATAATATAAAAAGAAATTTTGTTGTTGTAGTTCACTACTTTTTGAAGCCTCTCTATATATACCTTAAGATATTTAAAACTCATAATCAAATAATGAGAAAACATGACAGCGAATCATATTGAAGAGTAAATTTGAATAGAAAAAAAAAATTGCTTATATATTGTTTCACTGTCAGCTAATTATCATTTGCCTTAAATGATAATTAGCTGATTATATCTAATTAATTTGGGTATTGATTAAATTCGTGAATATAAATAAACTGAGTTAATTGCCTAGGAAATTTCAATTTACTTTACCTGAATTTACTCGAACTCGCACACGGCCTTAATTATAAATGTTGACTTTATTCAATGTAATAAGTTTGCACAAAATATCGTTAAGTAGGATATGTAAATTTGGAATTGACAAAAAAAACTGAAATTGACTATTTTTGGCTAATTTTTTCTAAAAAAGGCAAACTGACAAATAAGCAAGGTAACTCTCAATGAAGTAATTTAAGGTAGTGAAATTTCATATCCTACATACACCATATTCATCAAGAAAAAGTTATTAATAAGTCGCACTACATTTTATTTGCTATTGTAATAAATTATATTGACAACAATGATTTTATATTACTTTTAATGTGTAAATGAAATAAAAAAATGGTATTTACTTCATGGTATCCTAATAAGTGAAACAGCTGTTCACATATATATTGAAAATAGTATTAGTTTAAAAAATGATTCCTAATGGAAAATCGTTATACAATAGCAACTATAATATATACATTTTTATATTAAAATTTATAAACTATTCAGTAATAAAATAAAAACAAAATTTAATTCGCCGTTTGTTGTTACGGCAGTCAATGCCCGCGTTCTACACTTCGAGTTCGTATGCTAAGTTGTCATAATCACACAAGCTTCCCAATACCATAAATTTTTATTATAATGGTTTATAGCCATAAAAATTACTAATAAATATTTAAGATATGTGCAAATTCAGTAGCTAGATCACATTGAGTTATCTTTATGATGTCATTATACATTCAATTGTATCGCATAAATGTAGCGCATCTCAGTGCCAATTACTTTAGCTTCAATTTCATTTTCTTTGTTTTGCTTTCATGACTTTGTTGTTTGTTGTGTGTTGTTTTTCGTTTTTCGTTTTTCAGTCCAGTTTTGATATTGTGAAGTAGTATAATAATTCTTCGGTTTGTCAGCACACAAATTAAGTTTCTCGTTTTGTCAAGTCGCACAATTAAAATAAAAATAATTTTTAATTTAATTGAAATTAATATAATATTTTCAGAACAGAGTTGAATTGAATAATTCATAAATACGCTGTGAGCTAGCGGTAAGCAATTTCAGTTTTATACTTAAATTTGTTGAAAACAATATATTTGTATTAATTATTAATTTGGTTTTTTCACGCAGAATTAAAACAAAAAAATATACTCTACAATACGGAATATATCAGAATGAACAATTGTATCATTGATGTCACTTGTGTGCTGAGATAAATAGGCGTCTTGGGACAGACAACAAAGATAACGAAATATCTATCTTGCTAGGTAAGGTAAATATATGTAACAACCAATTCATTTATTTTTTAAATACGCTACAAATTTATACATAAATATATGTATGTACATGCTTGACATGTTTTTGTTAATAGGTTTTTGTTAAATGACTCACATAAAACTTTAAAAGTAATTGAATACCTTCAGTGCTAATTGTAATTTTTAAGTGTTTGCTTTAAAAGGGTCTCTTTGTCAGAACGATGCCTGAAAATCAAGAGTTGGTTAACAAATATGGAGAACCTCTTCGATTCGATCGCAACTTTCATGGACCAATGTCTAGGTCTCGAAGCTGTACGGATTTACCATGTCTATTGATATTTTTGTTCTTCCTTGGTGGCTGGGGCTTTATAGGATATTACAGTGTGCAACACGGAGATCTGAATAAATTAATGATACCAACAGACTCCTTTAACAGAAAATGTGGCATAGACTCACAAGTACTCAATAAAAAATATTTATTTTTCTTTAATTTGGAAAAATGTATTGATCCCTTTGTGCCACTAACGGGCTGTGACACACCTCAGGTAAACAAAAACAATTTAAATGCATTGTGTTTTCTATTAATAATTATGCGACAAAAAATATTTTCAAGGTGTGCGTAGAGAGATGTCCTTCTGAAAAATTTGTATGGGAGGATATGAAAAATAAACCATTTGATTATATAAAGTCTCTTTTAATTTGTATATCGGATGACGTTAAAAACAAAATTAATGAAAAAAGCGATATAGAAAGAGAAATAAATGCTGGACGTTGCGCTAATCGATACATCGAAAGCGAACCAATTTTGAATCGTTGCATGTGGAAAGTTCCCAAAGACATGTGTGACATATCAGCAAGATTGGAACGTGGTAAACGTGAAACTACTTACGAATATCAAAAAAACAATACACAAGAGAAAATGTTAACTTACTCTAAACCAAAACTTCAGGCATTAGCATTAACCATGCAAGCTACAGAGGAGCCTGAAATTCAATGTCGCCGACGAACTCAATTAGGAGAAACAGTAATAAAAGAGAAAATGCGTCAAACAAATACATTTTTATCGAAAATGGTAGGTAATCTTGTCGCGCACTTTTACAAAGATGCCAATCATGATGCCCAACAAATTGGAGAAGAAATTGTTGAAGATATACTAATGTCTTGGAAAATTGTATTGATTGCATTGTTTTGCACGTTATTTGCATCTTTATGCTTTATAGCTTTATTGCGTTGGTTAGCGAAACCTATAGTGTGGTTATCAATACTTGGTGTACTAGTCGGTCTTGGAGTTGGAATGTATTTTAGTATCCGTCAATACAATTTTTGGCGTAATACACCAACTGTACCTAACCATTCATACAATATAAATTCTGCTGTCAAAAACGTTTTTGAGGAAGCTAATACATGGCTTTATTTGTCAATACTAATAGGCGTTTGCTTATTCGTTATTCTAATGCTGGTTATTATCTTAAGAAAGCGTATAAAAATAGCAGTAGCGCTGATTAAGGAAGGCAGTAAAGCAGTCTCGAGTATATGGTCAACCGTCTTCTTTCCAATATTTTCCTGGGTGCTGATTATAACAACCATTGCATTTGCAATTGCAGTGGGTCTTTATTTAGGTTCTATCGGAGAGGTACAGTATGAGTATTTATTATAAGAAGCTGTAAACATAACACTTTTTTTTAATTTAAGCCATACTTTCGAATGATACGACACTTGGATAAATCAACCGACACAGGAGTATCAACAGAAAATTGTATATGTGAAGGCCCAGCACAAAATTACAAAGTTGGCGACCAATGCAATCCATTGTCCTTTGATCAACATTGCTTTGTATCAACTAAAGGATTTTTTCAGCAATTCCAGCGCCGCCCCTGCATAGACAACAGTTGCAGTTTTGTTAAAATAGAACATAGTCCGACTGTAAATTGGTTCATAGCTTACAATGTATTTGGCTTTTTTTGGATAATATTTTTTATTGCTGCGTTTAGTGACATGGTTCTGTCAACTACTTTTGCCACATGGTATTGGACTTTTAAAAAGAAGGACGTTCCATATTTTACACTTACGCGCGCTTTTTGTCAGACGGTATTTTATCATCTTGGAACCTTGGCATTCGGCTCCCTTATTCTTGCTATATGCCGAATTATACGTATTATGCTAGAATATATCGACTCTAAGCTCAAAAAGTATGATAATGCAGTTACGCGTGCTATACTTTGCATGATGAAATTCTTCTTTTGGCTGCTGGAAACATTTTTACGGTTCCTAAATAGAAATGCTTATATAATGTGTGCAATGCATGGCAAAGGTTTTTGCACGAGTGCAAAGGATGCATTCAACTTAATTATGAGAAACTTTTTACGTGTTGTTACACTCGATAAAGTAACAGACTTCCTTTTCTTTTTATCTAAAGTATTGCTAACTGGAGCAGCAGGCGTGGCTACTTATTATTTTCTTGTAAGAAATCCTGCTATTATACAATTGCATCACAATGCCGTCCCAGTTTCCATTGTTGTGATCGCTGCTTTTCTAATAACCAGTGTATTTTTTGGTGTGTATTCAATGGCTGTAGATACATTATTTTTGTGCTTCCTGGAGGACTGTGAAAGAAACGATGGTTCCTCTGAAAAACCGTATTTTATGTCAAAACAGCTCATGAAAATTTTAGGTAAGCGTAATAAGTTGCCAAATCGTATAAACAATAATCAGAATTTAATTTAATTTTTGTAAGTAGTATCTTTAGTTGGGAGGGGGGAGTATTAGCAAAAGACACTAAACCTTTGTTTGGTATGGTACAATTTTTATTGTATAATAAGTCATGAATTTGTATGTAAATAATTGAATTAAAGTTATTTGAACTGTAAATAGTCTGAATATTAAAGAAGGAATTGATATTGTTAAGTAAATGTTGTGAAATGTTAAGGATTGATCCTAAGAGATGGTGCTAAAAATTTTAAATCAAAATATAATATACTTTTAATGGATTAAAAATTCAAATAAAAAAATATTACTTTGATTCATATTTTTTGAATCTAAAAGTCAATTATTATTATCCAATATTTAAGCTTTTTGTTTTGCAATATTGATATTAATTTTGTGTTGTACCTACTTAAATATTTATTGATCAGGTTGAGCTCAATATGCAAACTTGAAAAATGTCAAACAAGAATCACTATTAGCACAAATTTTAGTCTTATGTATTTATACTTATAATTATATGTATACGTATGTGAAACTAGCTTATATAAATTGTTTTATCTTATTTATCCAATTATTATGAATTTATTTAAATATTGCATTATTAAATTTATTTGTTATATGAAAACCTTATACCTTAACTGTAATATTTAGATTGTTAATTTGAAAATGATAATCCGCACAACTTTGTTTAAAGCAGAAATTTAATTTATTCTAAATTTGAAGAGAAAAAGACAATTTTGTAAAGTCTGATTTTAAAAAAACGTGAATTCATATCTAATAAAACATAAAATTATTAAAAAAAAATTTTTAACATAAATCTTCTAACTGTATCTGTTGAACTAGTTAATAAAGATTATCCAAGCTAGTGGTGGTTTAGAAATCACAACTAAGCGTTCTATCGATACAAGACTTAATATGAAAACTTATATATATATATATGTATATATGTAGGCAGGAAGGGTAAGATCTGGCAACGCCGGCAAAAAGGAACAAGAAGAAGCTTTAAGAAACAAGCGGTAGTCGGTAATAAGTCGTTGAAGTTGTCAGTCGATTGTGCGCGTTTAAGAAGTTACTCATTATTATTTATTAATTAATTAACGTATATACACTTTGATTTTTTGGATTAAATAAATACTATTAAATAAACATTCCTACATATATATAATGATCGGTATATATATATATCTTATACTGATCGTTGAAACCAACCGTTAACCTATCAGTACATTTCAGCAATTAATTCTGTATAATTAAGGGCGTATCGTCAAATATCAGATGGTTGTAATCAGTAGTTGTGTATGAGCTTAGGTTCTGTAATGATTCTTTGGATTACGCATATTAATAGCACGCAATATAGTAATATATTACTTCCTAGTAAAAGTTTCCTTGTTATGTTACGGTTAGTATACAAAAAACTACGATCTAATTATCGTCCCAGATTAGGGGTTATATACAAGGAATTCGAACTCTGTTACGATGTAAGAAATGGGATTCATAGTACTGGTGGTAGGTGGCGTACAATAGGGCCAAGTGACGTCGAGTTCCAGTGTCCTAGATTAAGAAGTCACATAGCGTATTAATGCTACTGAGCAGCATCAGATCTTGAAGCCAATGTGGTGCCCATGACCTACATCATTGTTTAATATGACAAGTCATTGCATAAAGTAACAAAACAATTGTGACATAATTTATTGAATGCACATTTGTCGCTTTGTCGTTTTGACTTTGATCATATTACATTTTTAAATTTTGTTTGACTCACGCCGTTATGATTGTGCACTCGTAACATGATGCGCGAGCCAAACGTTTTATCATATGTGGTCATTGTACGGTAGTAACACAAATTCCTTTAGAGAAATGTTAAACCTTATGAATAACAAAATAATATATACAAGTAAAAATGCATAAGAAATAGATAACATATGTTAGAATAGTATAATAGATACTATGAATATCTTATATACTTTATCAAAAATTGGGAGTAACCAATGTATTGATTGGTTACTCAAGAATATATAGGAATTAAATAATAAGTTTAGTACATAAGAATATTTTGTATAAATAGAGTAAGATTTTACAAATAAAGCAGATTCTTTTAGATTCTTTTGCGATAGCAACAAGAATAAATTATTTTATTTGAATCTCTGGTTATATGCGGCATATCTGCTGGAAATACCATAAAGGCGGCTGAAGAGCTTAGAAAATACTTAAAGGCGGCTGAAGAGCTCAGATCAATACTAAATCCTTGTTAGGTCGAAACCTTTCTTCTTGGGCTTAATTTCAATCCCCTAGCAATCCTATCAAGCGATACATATTAGTTTATTGGATGAAGAACCTTGCATCAATACATGGCAATCCTATCACCACACATCTTTACACCAACTTTAACTTTTTACTTTAATAGTAAGAAGAGGTCTGGAGCAGGAAAATTTGTTAGTTTCCAATTTGGGCATTGACACCACGATAGGTGATGACTCGTTACGACAGGTACGTAAAATCGAAGACATTAGTCCAAAGATCGAGGGAAAATTACCTAATCTTCTACCATCGTCTAGATCTTAAGTTTCAAAATAACAAAAAGTTAAAAATAGTTTGGGTATAGAAAATAAGAGGGAGAGAACCGAATCGTATTACAGAATGGTAGGAAGACCTCATCAGGAAATCTGATAAAGCTGTAACAAGGTTCAGAAAAAGCAAGATTTCGACTCTGTGCAAAATTCACAAATCTTATCATCAATCAAGATTCCAGAAAGACGGTTGCATTATATGAATTCCTCCCACAGATTCAGATGAGATGGTAGTAGTGCCTCTAAGAATGGCACTAGAACACACTGTTCATGGTTGAGCAGTTGTCACTTTTTAGACTAAGGAATGATGCTATCATCAAATGATTCTTAGGTTCTTTGGTGGTTCGAATACAGGTGATAGGCCAAGAACGAGCAGAGAAGAAGCTGGAGGTAGTGTAAATTAATTTATATCACACTATCTTAACCTTGGTCGATATGGATTAATATAACTCAAATATAAGGAATGATATATACATACCACCATAACAGTGACGACTGCTCTAAGGTGCGGAGGTGTGCGGTGAACACCCTAATATAACTTGCAAAATGTTAAATAACATAGGTATATAAATTTATTAAGTATCTTTACATCAAGAATTATTATTATTTATTACATTTCCATATAAATATATATTTTTAAAGTTTTAGCAAAAACAATTAAATATAATTGTCTATGAAAACTCAATTAATTTGCTTCTGTTAGCCGCTATACTTGTTAGTTGTGCTCATATATTTGCAGCTCAAATCACAGAACATTTCTATTATATTTCGTCTCTCCCCTTTGTGTGCAAAGAAATTGGGCGCACATTCATACGTTACATATGAACAAAATAATGTGCGTGTGCTCCCGTTCGTAATATCAGAAATAGAGATTTATATAGTGGGAATTGTATGAGAGTAATTTTCTCTTCTATTCGAATATCAACTGTATGCATACGAATCCAACATGATGATTTGCCAAAGTGGTTGCATGAGCGGCTGAAGTTTGCAGCTCATCTCACCATACATTTCTATCACATTTCGTCTCTCCCCTTTTAACAGCAGCACCCCCGAATTTCTGTTCTTATTGTGCGGGGTACTTGTGCGCACATTGCAAGTGGTTTCGATTTTGTTTGATCACTGCATAAACATGTATGGGTCTAAGTACAAACTCTTTTGTTTGAAAAAAGTTGGTTTGATGTTACGAGAATTATGTGAAAAGTTTTGTTTCTTCCATATTGATATAATATTAAACTTGTATATAAATTATTAATTTAATTTGTTTAATATGTTATTTTGTTAATGAATTGTTAATATAATATTGCGCGAATATATTGTTGCCTTATATAATATAGTAATTATTAATAAAAGATCTCATATATTTTAATATAAGTGGTACATGTAAAAACAACATTAAAGAAGGGCCGCACACCCTTCCAGATAGGGCACGCGTCGTCACTGCACCATAACCTGGTTATCTGCAGTGTTAAATTATCAAGCGCCTCAATTCCCTTTTAAATTCTTTTTTTATAAAATTAAACTGTAAAAACATCTGATTTTGTTTGTTTTGTAGTACATAAAAGCAAGAAAAACTATAAAAACAAAATTAAAGTAAAATTCGTTCTTTTATTTAATTTTTTAATATTATTCATATTTATTTATTATTTCATCAATTTATTTGATTGATTTAATTGAATTAATTAATATTTAACCGATGGAATCAGACTTGTTACATCAAAAATTTGTACCGTAATTTAATAAAAATAAATATATAGAAATTATTTGGCTTTACCGAGTTACTGACTACGTCTGAATACTAAATTGTAAAATTTTGTTGTATTCCCTTGCCCTTACACTGACAAGACTCCAGCAAGATTTTTCCACACATTCTCTAACACATGGAAATTTTTGTTTGCAGACGGAATTCGAAAATAATACGTATTTTCTTTCGAACGGTACTTGGTTGTCGTAGGTGACGAGTGGCTCCGGGACGTAGACCCGACCGTTTTTGAAACCTGATTTTTCTATACTGTTTCTTAGTTCGTTTAAGTTCGCTGCTTTTATTAATTTCGTTCCTATTAAATACCCAGATTTGGTTGGTTGTTTATTTCGCTTTTACATAAAGTCTTAGGGACGTTCCGACTAATTGGATCTTTAGGTTGTGCGTATTCGAGTAAATTGATGGTAAATCCAGGGAAATAGTGAATTATGTCGGGATGGCAGCGAATGTTGGTATTTACCAGAATTTCAAGTAGAGTATATTAAGTAATATCATTATAAAAATTTTATAAGATGTTTAATAAATAAATAAATAAATTTGAAAAGTTTTAACAGAAAAATAATAGCTAAGTGCAATAAATAAGTGTAAATAGGTGCAGTGCAAAAAATCCCTAGGAAATTTCAATGTACTTTACCTTAATTTACACGAACTCGCATACAGCCTTATGGCAATTAGGGCCATGTTATGCAGAGTGTCTCGGGCACGGCATGAGTACAATTGTTGTTGTTTTCAATGCAAATTTTAAATTTGAGAATGAGAAAAAATACAATATGGCCGTTCAAACTCCGGCATGAGAGCCGGGGTATTTGTGCCCCGGCACTAAGGCAAAACAGTGTTGTTTAGTAATAGATTTTAAAATTTGCGCCTTTTAGGAGCAAACTACTACAATTCTAATACGCTTTGGAGAAAAAATGGCAGTAAGCAACACAGCCCTTTTTTATAAATCGCTAATAATATAATTATTACACTTTCCTGTTTTAAAGAAAGGAGTAAATACTGTTAAGTACTGTTCATAATTATTGTAAGATAATGTAATAATAAATTAACATTATTACAGTCTCTATGAGTTTTTTCTTACTAGTTATTTTTGATGGGAAATTGAAATTAAGCCTATCTAAATTTCCTTTTAAATTTAGGCACAACCAAAAAGTATCAAAACATTGTAAAAATACAAAATTGGCAATACTGATGAGACACTCTGCATAAGATGCATTTTCGGCATAGCTCGAAAGAGCGTAATTTGCCGTGCCCGAGACACTCTGCATAACATGGCCCTTACAGAAATTTTTAAAAGTGTTATATCTATTACCGAAAAATTAAGAAATTTTAATTTTTAAGAGATGGCAACTCATAAATGCAATATCAATCTATTCACTTCGGTGGCTTTGTGAAATTGTGTCGTGGTTTGTAAGTAGAAATTATTTTCTTTTTCTAATATTAACATTAAAAAGGTTTATTAAAAATTATTATAATTTCTGTGTGTTAGAATATCAAAAAAAAAAAATTAATTTCAATGTGCAAATAAAAAACGAAATAAAAATTTTCGTTTTTATTAAATTTTTTTCGTTGTACTGATTGACCGTCTGATATGATTGATTTTTCAACCAAAAGAGAAATTATCAAATAAAATTTGATTATAAATTTTATAAAAATACCAGCATTTAGTGGGTGTATCCAAAAAAGATTTTTTTTTTGTTATATTTCATTGACAAGACATGAATCAATAACCAAAATTAGTAACGTCGCCGTAGTACTTTGTACGTGCCTTTATCGTATATTAATTTTTTACCATAAAAGTGGGCAATAAATATTTTCAAATTTATCAAAATATAGTTATAATTAGATACTGCAAAATCAATAACAATTACAGTCCTATATAAAGTCAACATATTCTATTTTATTTTCAAGCATATATATTTGCCAACCATCGGTGGATACTTTGTAAATTTTCTCTGTAGTGCATTTAATCAGATGTAAAATTTTTCTTTGGATTAATAAATTATTTATTGAAGAGGTTTAATTATTTGTTGTATTTTCCTTTGTGGAACTTATTAATCACAAATAATTTATATTTGATTCATACAAGAAACACTGATATTTATATAAATGATTCAAACTAATCAGTAATTGATTTTTCTTTTACAAAGAAAACAAACACACATCGAATTTGTTTTAATGTTAAACGAAGATAAAAAGATAAAGGAACAAATTACTTTGTTTAGCATGAATATATGCCAGATCATCTTTTAGACTTTTTCGTTAATAATACTTTAGAGAATATCACATGATAATTCTTTCAACTATTTTTAATGTTGAGTTGATTAAAATAAACGAATTGTTTGGATAATGCTTCTTCGGTAACATATTGAGATTAGAAGCTTTTGTGGTCTAGTGCTGTTGCACACAATTCGATACACATCCACGATACATATATTGTTTATATGAAAACATATGGCAGAAATGAGTAACATAATTTATAAATGAGTTATTAAATATAATGTATACAACATTATATGTGTGTATATTGCGTTGAAACGATTTTCTTATCACACAAAATTGTTTGAGCTTATCTCCCAGTTTTGGAAACTAAAATTGATTTTTATATATAAATTTCTAATTCTAGTATTTATTGAATACAGAACACAAAATACAGAAAACTGGAAATTGTTTTATTAAAAGCAATAATCAATAAATCAGAGACTGGGAAATACATCAAAATTTATATACCGGTTAACGGATAGGTAAACGGCTAGGCTATATTGACTGCTCATAATGGGGTCGTTGTTTCGCAGTGAAGAGATGACGTTATGTCAACTCTTTTTGCAAAGTGAAGCCGCATACGCATGTGTTTCGGAATTGGGCGAACTTGGTTTGGTGCAATTCAGAGATGTAAGTTACATGAAATTTAATTTTGAAAATTTGATCACCTAAACAAAATACCTTACAGCTTAATCCAGATGTGAATGCCTTTCAAAGGAAATTCGTTAACGAGGTACGTCGCTGCGATGAAATGGAACGTAAATTACGTTATCTTGAAAAAGAAATAAAAAAGGACGGCATACCTATGCTTGATACAGGTGAAAGTCCTGAAGCGCCTCAACCCAGGGAAATGATTGATCTTGAGGTTACCTTTTTTATTATAATAAAAAAAATCATAGTGCATAATTTTTTTTTTAATATATTAGGCTACATTCGAGAAGCTAGAAAATGAACTGCGAGAAGTAAACCAAAATGCGGAAGCTCTGAAACGTAATTTCCTCGAATTAACTGAGTTAAAGCATATATTGCGAAAAACTCAAGTTTTTTTCGATGAGGTGAGTTTTAGTTATAATGTGCACATAAATATGTCTTACGGTTAATATAATAATAAATGTTAAATGTATATAATAACAAGAATAATAATAATCTTCGCAAAAAATAAAATTTTTAAAAATGTGGCATGTAAATGCCTTCGCATGGCAAAAATTCCTTTTTAAGATGGATGGAGGTAAAATAAATTTTGAGTGTGAAATTTTCAATGTATATATATTTTAATAATCTTTTTTATATGAAAATTGTGCATATTAAAGACAAATTAAAAGCATGTTATTTGCGTAAAAACGTGCACTTATCACTACTTATAATTTATCAGTAAGAATATGTATTGTAATATAAAATAGTTATAAATTACTAACTATTTCTTTAATTAATATTCTAATATAAATATATTTTTATTTTATATAATATATAAATATCTATCTAACCATTTGACAACACAACTGATTCTTATACAATTGAGAAAAAGTTTTAGTTATTTGTTACGGTTTATTTGATTGAAAATATGTACCATTATTTATTTTAAGCACAATAATTTCTTTATTTATATTTACTTTGATTATATTTTTCAAAAGAATGTACTTGACCACAATTTATTTTAAATTGAAGTACGAATAATATGTGCATTAATTTAATATTCAGTATGATATGGCATATCTTCAACTTACACCTATTTATATTGGTTAAACAATCAAATAGCAATTTGAAAATATACTCTATTTTTATTTTCTGAAAATCCTTCACAAATTGAAGTTGTTCTACTGTACTTTTTCATAGATAGACTCTATTTTACTCCTGTTATGTATATAATTCTGTACAAACTAATTATTGTTTTTACATAATATATATATTATATATGTAATATATATAAGCTTGATCATTTACTAATTAATAATAATAATGAAATCATTTGTATAAATGAATACAGAAGCACTTCTTTACTTCTTTTTTGTATTAATTCTTGTTATTTTTGTTAATTAGTAAAAAAATATTTATTGAGTTTTAACAATTACTTTTTAATATTTTCTTTTATTTGTTTTCATTGTTTTTTATGCTTTATGAATTCCTCCAGACTTAACTCTTAATACATTCTCATTTAAATTATGAGTAATCTAGTCGATGAGACTTTCAAATAATATTATAGCTTTATTTTCTAATATTAATATTACTTTAATTAATGTGTGTTGAACAATTTTATTGTTAATTTTCTATCTATTCTAATTGCGATTATATAGAGAAATTTATTAGTTTTCTTAAACAAAAATAAAAAAATAAATTATTTATTAATTCATGTATTCATTGCAGAATATGTGTAAGTGCTTCTTTCCGCACGACACTACTATATCCATGTAATACTTTATGTATGTTTATACTTGCTCAACTGCTTCTAAACTTGTTTTTAAAGCTATCTCTATACACTTGATACGTTAACATGATCCTTTCTTTTCTTGGTGCAATCTGATATGAATATGCTGATATATATTTTCTTTAGACGTATTTAAAGACATCATTTTCATTTTTTATTTTTGCTTTAAAAATATATTTTATTTAAAATATTTTGCAACGAATTTATTTTATGATTTCTTATTTTTGGTTTTTTAATGGATTTTATTTGAAACGTGTGACCTTTCCTAATCCGAAAATTACATATAAATTTATCCTGATGTCCAATTCCTACCCCTATTCCTTTCGGAAATATATTCGGTTGTGTTGCCAGGCGGTACCCTCAATAAGTTACAATACAACTTCTCATTACTCTCGAAAAAAATGGCGATATCTTCAGATGGCCGAAAATCAGAACGAAGACGAACAAGCTCAACTTTTGGGTGAAGAAGGCGTTCGCGCAAGTCAACCCGGACAGAATTTAAAACTTGGGTAAATATTCTTCACAAACGAAAGTTGCTATCGTAAACTAAACTCAAACCCTTGCGAAAGTAAAAAATATCAAAGAGAGAAGCAACAAAAACTCATAAATACTATTATTCAGTTGTATTATTATTTATTAATTATTTGTGTTGTTCATTGTTAATATCAGCTTAGAATTCTCATAAATTTGTGCTAGTCTTAGTCTTTTTAACTAAGGCTTTTCCTTGTCAAGATATGTACACATTTTTATTGTACTCATTGGTGCTTTTTGTAAAAAGGTTTAGGAGGTTTGGTGTAAGCAATCAGTCCATACATTAATACGATCTTCCGTGGTCTGCTTAAAATGCACATATTTTTTGTCGGAGCAAAATTATTTGCGTTAATTTTTAATAAATTGTGATGACTATTAATTTAAGTCCTTGGAGAATATGGATACACTGATTTTTGTGGTGGTGGGTGAATAACTCATAACTCATAACTTTTAAGTATTTATGTTAAGGATGTTTTGCTGCACTGGAATGTAAAACGTTTTTATCCTAGCACATCTGCTCTCATTTTTAACGGTAGCCTATATCTGACTAAGTCCTCACACATATCGAATACGGCGCTTACTACTAATTTCACATAATGCAAATGAGAAACTTATTAAAAATTATTTTTTAAAATTTATAGCAAGAGGGCGGTCTAAGTATTACTACCGAATCGATGACACGAGCTCTAATTACGGACGAAGTTCGAACTGCCCACTCTATGGGCCCAGTTCAACTTGGGTACGTATATTGAAAACTAGAAGTTATATTATAATATGGCTTCAAGGTTCAATTTTTATTAAGTATAAACTTAAAAAGCATAAATTTATTGCTGCTTTGAATTAATTAAATTAACCTAATTCGGTGATTTAACTGAATGGTTGCTGAATTGAATGGCATGGTTCAATTTAATTTAACTAACTTTAGACTAATTTAATATATCGTACAGATCCATTAAAACCTTCTTAAGTTATTAACTAATTCATTGTAATTTCAATAGAAATGCGTAGTGATTTTTTACTTGACTTTCTCAAGAATGTAAAAAATCATTTAAAATAAACCAAGTTTTCCAAATTTAAAGATTTTAGTTAATATTTAGGTAGCAAACCTAATCTGGTGATGGTAGCGTATTTTAATTAGAAGTAATTTAATTGATTTTACTGTTGATTTTTACTGTTTAATGCAATGGTCTAAAGTTACCTTAAGGTCGACTTGATAGATAAATATATGAGTGAGTAGGTGGAAAGTCCGAGTTATTAGTGATCATTTACAGTTGGTCTTTATAGTAGTCTACGAAAAATTTCATCCATTAACAAAGAAATTAAGTAAATGAAAAACTGCTTCGGTTACATAGAAATTGATCGCGTTATTTGTTTTGGTAAAATTTTAAATTAAACCTAATTGCTTAACCATATTTCCTACATTGGATCGATTCAGTGTAATTAATTGAGTCTATAAATGCTGTCTGTCATTCGATGCACTTGAAACTATTCCAGAGCTAGTATGATAATATTGTTACTCTCGTATTGTTATTACATGAACCTGTAATGTAGGTACTACAATGTAAAGTAGGTTAAAGTATTATCGTCATTAATAGCGTATTGCAGAAGTAAAAGAACGATTACAGTTGACTTTCCAACAGTTAATGTCTAATGTTGATTTCAATATATTTTTTTCATATACTTCGCAATAAATTTATGAATTTTTAATTCGAAGCTAAAGAATAAAATAAATGTAAATAATTTTATGTTTCCTTTTCGAATGCCACTGATAGTTTTATGGATAAAGCGCACGAGCGTGAAGAATATCTTCCATGGTTGGTATCGTAAAAGTACATATGTTTTATTTATTTGCATATTTTTTCTGCATACATAATTCTCATTCATCAAACTCGCTACAAATTCATAACAGACACGTTCCCTCCGTTTTTAATGAAAAGTAATTTTCCATTTTTATTCATCGTTCGGAAGTGCAACTGCAACTGCAACTGCAACTGCAACTGCAATATGCAATGTGCAATGTATGATTATTCATTTGAGCTTTAAATTGAGTTTAGTTTACGTTTGTAATCATTTGTTTTGTAACTAAAATCCTTGTAGTCTTAATAAGTATTAGAAATGACGACCGTTAACTTATTAAATATTTAGTTTTGTCGCCGGGGTTATACTGCGTGAAAAGCTACCAGCGTTTGAGCGAATGTTGTGGCGTGCCTGTCGTGGTAACGTATTTTTACGGCAAGCAATGATAGAATCTCCTCTCGAAGATCCTTCAAATGTAAGTTATGAAAATGATATTGTTTAAACATAATAGCAATGTAATTATACAATTAAATATTTTAGGGGGATCAAGTGTATAAGTCTGTTTTTATCATATTTTTCCAAGGTGATCAATTGAAAACTCGTGTTAAGAAAATTTGTGAAGGATTTCGAGCTACTCTGTATCCTTGTCCTGAAGCACCAGCCGATCGTAGAGAAATGGCCATGGGCGTAATGACACGCATTGAGGATTTAAATACCGTACTCGGTCAAACACAGGATCATCGTCATCGTGTTTTAGTGGCCGCTGCAAAAAATCTTAAAAATTGGTTTGTTAAAGTACGCAAAATCAAAGCCATTTACCACACTTTGAACCTGTTCAATTTGGATGTTACTCAAAAATGCTTAATAGCTGAATGTTGGGTTCCTGTGCTTGATATTGAAACTATACAGTTGGCTTTACGACGGGGTACGGAGAGATCGGGTTCAGCAGTACCACCGATACTTAATCGTATGCAAACCTTTGAAAATCCGCCAACTTATAATCGCACAAATAAGTTTACAAAGGCTTTCCAAGCACTCATCGACGCATATGGTGTTGCTACTTATCGTGAAATGAATCCGGCACCTTATACTATTATAACGTTTCCTTTTTTGTTTGCTGTAATGTTTGGTGATTTGGGTCACGGTGCAATTATGGCGTTATTTGGCCTCTGGATGATTCGTAAAGAAAAAGGATTAGCTGCACAAAAAACAGACAATGAAATCTGGAATATATTCTTTGGTGGGCGGTACATTATTTTTTTGATGGGTGTGTTCTCAATGTATACTGGTCTAATATATAATGACATATTCTCAAAATCTTTGAATATATTTGGGTCACATTGGGAAGTGCATTATAACAGGAGTACTGTGGCAAGTAATAAGTTCTTACAACTAAATCCTGAAACGAATGACTACAGTGGAACTCCTTATCCCTTTGGGATGGATCCTGTTTGGCAAGTAGCAAATGCAAACAAAATTATTTTCCAAAATGCGTACAAAATGAAAATATCTATAATATTTGGAGTTATTCACATGATTTTCGGTGTTGTAATGAGTTGGCACAATCACACATATTTTAAAAATCGTCTTTCACTCTTGTACGAATTCATTCCACAAATGCTTTTCTTAATTCTACTCTTCTTCTATATGGTATTATTGATGTTCATTAAGTGGAATCGTTATGCAGCAACAAATGAGGGTAAGCAAATAAATTTAATAATTATATATTTTATCTTTATATACAATTTTAAGCTCCCTATTCTGCATCCTGTGCACCATCAATTTTGATAACATTTATTGACATGGTTTTGTTCAATACGCCAAAGCAACCACCCCAGGGATGTGAATCTTACATGTTTGGTGGGCAAGCGTTTTTCCAAAAATTATTTGTTTTGGGCGCATTTGCATGCATTCCGGTGATGTTACTTGGTAAACCAATTCAAATAATGAAGCAACGGAAACAAGCAAATGTAAGTAAACACCCGAATACTATCGCTTTACTCTTCTCAATTTTTAATTCATTATCTTAAATAACTCCATTCCCTAATATTCGTTGGAATTAAAGATATTAAAATTAAATTTTGTTTTTTTACCTTTTCTATAATTTAACAATTACACACTCCAAATACTCCCTACAAAACAATATTAAAATTATAAAAAAAGGAGGAGGTTAGTTTAATATTATAGAATTTATCATTTCTATTTGTATATAATATATAAAAAATAATGAATAATATAAATAACATAGATATACATTTTGTTATGCAGAGATCAAATGAAATCTTTTTTTTAATGAATAGGTACAACCCATCACAGGCGCAACTAGTGATGCTGAAGTTGGCATGTCAAATGGATTAGGAGGCCATGGCGGTGGAGGTGGTGACCATCACGATGAGGAAGAAATATCTGAAATATTTATACACCAGGGCATTCATACTATTGAATATGTTTTGGGATCTGTTTCACATACCGCTTCCTATTTACGTCTTTGGGCTTTATCACTAGCTCATGCACGTTAGTATTTATTTCATTCTTTATAATCGCACAGGTAACATAAAACAAATGTTTCATTGTAATACAGAACTTGCTGAAGTCTTGTGGCAAATGGTGTTGCGAATTGGTCTTACTCACGAAGGATGGTTTGGTGGTGTCGTTCTGACCATTGTTTTTGCATTCTGGGCTGTTTTGACTGTTGGAATTTTAGTTTTAATGGAAGGGCTTTCAGCATTTTTACACACATTACGTTTACATTGGTAATGAGTATCATAATACTCACTGCTTTTTTTTAATTAACTTAATTTTCATTTTTATTTTCTAGGGTTGAGTTTCAAAGTAAATTTTATCAAGGACAAGGATATGCTTTTCAGCCATTTTCGTTTGATGCTATAATTGAAAATGGGGGATCTACCAATCAAACTGAAGCTGATTAAATGTACCTTGACAAGTATCTCGCGTTATTTCATTAAATGAATTTATTCTTATTTATTGAACATTTTATAAACTTAATTATATGTAGTAAAAATAATATACTAGTTAAATATTGTGTGGGATATACTTGTTTCACTTTTTCATATTTTAACGTATGCTTGCACTTAAAAACATACTTTTTCAATGTCCTTTAATTAGGCTTAATTGAGATTATTAGAGTTCAATCGTTACATTGGAATTATCGAAAAATAATATGAAACTAATTTGAAGTTAGTTAATATATACTTTCATAAATAGCTTAAATATAATGAATAAAGTTTCCTGCTTATAATTGTTAATTTAAATTTAAACCTAATAAAGCAAATATGTGCATAAAAAATTTTGACTTGTTTAATTTCATAATTTGTGCTTGTAAAACTGCGGTGGTTCCGTTTCATCAACGGTAGGTAATTGTTTGTGGGCAAGTAATATTAAAGAATTAAATTAAACTTATGCGTTTTAATTAGTGAATTTGAAATTTATTTTATTGTTCATATAGCCATTTAGAATAGTAAGATAAATTTGCACAACAATACAATACAACAGTATTTGTAGCTATAAATAATTTTATTCTAAAAGTTTTATTGCATTTTCTAATGTTAATTTAAAAAATTATTAGAAACGTAATGTTAATCTTAGTCATTCCAGAATACATGAAAATGGTAGTGGATCGGACATACCCGTTAAGCAAGCCTTAAAGTGAAACCCGCAAGAAGTCACCGGCCTGGCGCTCCTTCAAGAACATGGCGAAGGAAAATTGATGCCGAATTAACATCAGCGCGCTACTCATGGAACGACATCTGCACGGCAGCTCCAAATAGAATACGGTTCAGAGGATTTATTGAGACCCTATGCTCCACTGGGAGTTAAGGGAACAAAGAATAAGAAGCATGTTATTCTAGTGTTTGTTGAATATTCTCAATTTTCACATGTTCATCACATTGTTTATTAAATTTATTTTGCTTTATTTTGCACTGCACTTCTGTATTTTCTTCTTCTTTTATTTGGTGGCAATTATATAAAATGCCAAATATTTGGATATTTCAGTAAGGCGCTTTTTTCTTTAAAGCACCTGCAGATAATTAATGCATAGATAAGGAATTATATTGTTGAGCTCATATAGCTATGATTATTTGAATGAGCTTATTATAAAAAAAAATTCTTAAATCCATGTTATTGTTTATTGAATAAATTTATTTAAGCAATCAACAAACTTATTTACATTATCTGAGAGTTCAAATTTCGCCAATGCATTAAAGTCAAAATGCTCAAGTGATTTAGCTATTTGTTTTACATTACAATAATATAAGTATCCTTCAGCCGCCATTTCTATTGCCAGTTCTGTCTGATGATTATTCATAAGATTCTCATTTATCACGATTAAAGAAGGTTTTTGATTTGTGAGTATGTCAATGCATGTACCGGCCCCTGCATGACCTATAACTAAGTCAGCATTTACGATATCTGTAGAGTTTTCATCAAACTTAAAGGGATAGTATTCCACATTAATACCGTATTTTTCATGTATTTTTCTGCTGTCAATTAAGATCTCTCCTTTACCAATTTGTAAAGTAAGTTGGCAACAACCTTTTTCTTGTAGCAAATTCAAAACTTTGTCCGATATAATTTCAGATATTAGCTCATCAAATTTTGTTGTACCAACTGTAATAAATACTCTCTTCATTTCAAAAACCATTGTTTTCAACTGTTTTAAAGAAACTGCATTTATTTCTAAATGTTTAAGATCAGCTGCATTAAAATATCGTTATCAGCACTTCTTTATTGCGATTTACAAATTCACAATTAAAATTCACAATTAAGTTAATTCCTATCACTAAAATCACACTTAAATTAAAATAATTATTTATGACTAATTATTTTTATTTGTACTTTTACTTTTTGCATATATCATATTTTTACGAGTAACACAATTAGAAAATGATTTGATTATGTCAGTTTTTAATAAATTAATTACTTATGTGCGTGAAGATAGCGTCAACGATAAGTCTAAAAGGGAATTTGAACATTTTTCGCCGCATGAAAAATCAAGTAAACTTTAATTAAAGAAAAATTTTTTATTTTATTAAAATTAATGCAGCAAAACGCATTACTAAGTAGAAAATTGAATTAATATACCGTTTCCATTCAACTTTTATGTGTGAATGAAGTGATTTGTATAAAAACTGAAAAATAAAAATAATCCCCAAAAGACGGGGTCACTAATTTAATAACAACTTTACCATATACCAGAAATCAGAAAACAGTTAATATATAAAAAAACTTTGAATACAATACTTAAATAATCCCAATTATTTAAAAAAAATTGAAATTAATTATTCATAAATTTTGTATAAAGTTGGTCAATAGATGGCATACCATCTTGAATTAAATTCGCTGAAAAATTCAATAACCCGTTAAAATGGTACTGAAAAAACACAACGTACAGTTGAAGAGTTATTAGCATGTCCGTAGAACTGCTAAAGAAAAGTTAACGTCGAATTTTTATTAAGCTTGCTGCATCGAAGATATCAAAATAAGAAACTAGATTTTTTCTAAAACGATTTATGTTCAATATTATATATCTTGTTCTATTAACAAATTAAATAATATTAATTTTATTGTACGTGCAAAACAGTTGGACTTGCACTGATGATAAATTTGGGACATCAAATGTCAAAATAGTTAGCGTCGAATTTTTATTTAGATGTCGTCGATGCCAATGAGTATTTAATACCTATAGTATGCATCAAAAACAAATTCGCTGATCACCATGCAGGTGTAGGCCCTTTTTAGGCTCAATTTTCACTCAAATTCTCAGAGTGGCATTAATGAGAAAATATGAACCAAAGAGAATATAAACGCACATACAATAAACGTATGAATAGGTCATAGTAGAAATATACAAGAACGTTTTTTTTTTGCATATTTGGGAATGTTTTTGTTAAACTATAAAAACTTAAATAATGATAATTAATTAATTTTTTAATTATTAATTTATTATACAATAGTTTTAATTGTAGTATTTTCTATTATTTTAATCGAAAACGTTTATTATCTATATTTTTAAGTTTAGAATTTATAAGCACACTGCAGAAGTTGTAAAGCTTTGGTTGCTTTAAAATGTGCCCAAGCAAAGCAAAACGTAATCGCCATATTTGAATCCTATAGAAAATTTGTAGTATTTACTGGAGCGTTTGGTAAGTGAATACAATATAACCTCCAAAGAAATGCTGAAGAACGCGAGAGACAAAATAAGTTTTAGCTTAAAATGAAGGTAACGAATTAAAGTACAAATAAAAAAAAAATTAATTTAAAAAATCTATTTATTTATTAATTTTTTATAAGTTAAAATAAAATTTACTTTCTGTACGCAGAGTTTTTCTGCTAAGTGTATATCTATCATAAGAAAACAGTTTATTATAGATACACAATCCATAGTTTTTTAATGTAAATATCTGCCGTTAATATGGCGTGTACATTACATTGGCTCAAAATAAGCCATTTGAAAGTGTTTACATTAGTTGTATTCCATTCGTTCTCATTTCAAATAGCTGATTTTTCAACTTGCCTGTTGATTTCAGTTTTGGCCTATGCCAAAAAATTTTGCATGAAAGTTAAATATACTTTCAAACGTTAAATATATATTGAAAACATATTTTTAACTTCAATTAAATACTTTTTGGGAAGTAGAAGTTTTAATAAGAGGTGCATCGTTTTCAAGAAAATGCAACCACCAAATATTTGTTTACCTTTTTTTGTAAATATGTCAAAAACAGCTTTCTTAAACTGTCAAAATACTATGAAGAGCTTTTATTTAGGGTATGTTCAATGCATTCCTTTGTATTTGAAACATATTTGGAACGCATCCGAACGTCGTTGGGACACATTCATACAGAATATATTGAAATGGAATGCATTCGCGCTTGAAATTTTGTATGCAAGAATTAGCCATTCACTTCTCCTTTTCGATTTTAGACAAAAATGAGCCATTTTCAGCCAGTGTAAATGCCGTATAAGACTTAACATCAAGGTGCTCTTACAATATGCATCAGTATAAAGCGCCGATAAACACTCCCATTGAAATTCCGCAAGCACCTATTCAAGTTATAGTTTGGATATAGTTTCCAAGTTGGGAAAAAGCCAGGCTTATTTAATACCGCTGCTGATTCTTGATCACAGCACTCGGTTGGAAAATGCAACTTCCGTTACATGTAAGTAAGTGAATAATAAAGTTATTCGACGACCCCCATAACATTGAATTTTAACCACAGCTTTCACGATACTTCCCTTTAGGTGGCCTATCTCTATGGGCCACTACTAAGGTCACTACTATGCAAAAAACTCTTCAATTTTTTTGTTTTGACTTAATTATCTTGGGTGTAGAAGTATTTGTGTGTGTTGGAAATTTATTTATTGATATGCAATTCACAAGTAAATTATAAAAAATTCCTGATTAGAGTGCTTTTATACACCAATAACAAATAAAATAATGCAAAATGTTATATTAAATTGATTTTACTTTTTTAAAACTGATTATTAAGTCCTGGTTAATTTTTTTTTACATTTAATATTGTAACTATAGAATTATCAAAAATTTTTATAAACCAAATTTATAATTCGATATCTTTCCTTATCACTCTTACAATCATTATATTAAAATAATTAAGATGATGATTTTTCAATTTTGGTGGCATATAAGCAAAGTATGTATCCTTTGTCCATTTGCGCACAAAAATGGGCGCATGGCATATCAGAACAAGCGGGTGCTTAATTTGTTTGGTCTAAATTTTACAGAGAATTAAAGTGATCAGAAATATTTTATTGTAATATACTGTAATGTAATACGTTATATATATATTCGTCCGTCACTTCAAACACTGCTGTTCACCAGCTAGAAATTGCACAAAGCCAAGCTCTGAGAAAACTTTTCAAAGTTCCATGATACATTAGGACGAATGACATCCTCAGGGACCTCAAGATTGATCCGAAAATACATAAAGGATAGAGCCCTGAAATTATTTGCGAAAACTGACAGACTTACCAACACCGCGTTATCAAATCGCAAAATGGTTACAGGCTCCTTGGGGAGGTATGCAGATCTGAGGTCAATTATTGCTTAGTCTGATGAAGTGATAAACAATAATCTAGTCAAGGTGTAAAGAGGGGTTTTGAAAATACCTCGAGTTAAAAAAGAGTATAAGTGCTTAAGTGCACGAGCTCAAAATAGCTTCAACATAATATATTGTATACTACTACATTGTATTGTTATTATTGTATTGTATTGTTATATTATATTGTTTTGAAATATGTTGTGTAATATTATATTGTATTGAATTGTATTATATAGCTTACATAAATTATATTTATATATTCGAAACCCACATCAGAGTGTATAATCACCTTTCTCAACAAATAGAGTCGACAATCATAGGATACAAACGATTGCATTCCAATATCTTTTACAGTTGACAAAATGACGGTAATTGGAGCTTTGTCCAGAGCATTAAATAGTTGTAATGTATTACGCTATGAGTTCCTGCGGTCCTCTGGGAAATAAGCTTTGCCATAACGTCTTTGTATCCATTCCAATAGAAATGAAAAGTTATGTGAATCTGGCATTCCGGCTAGAATACATCGATGATCTTAAGACAAGTCCTCAAATGCATCCTTTAACATATATGTCATTCGTTTCTTATCACTACAATCATAAAATTTTTTGGGATATTTTTTAGTTAATGGAGAGTCATAATCAGAATATAGAATAGAATATTATTCCTGCGATTCGGAATAATGGTCAACTGATTTTGCAAGATTCAATCTGCACATATGTTAGCAATTTCACCCAAATTTAGTGGGTAATAAAGTCAATATATCAAATCAATATATAAATTATAAAAAAATTTTAAAATTGTTTATTTACCTCTTTTTCGTAGCGATCGATATCTGTCATATCTAAAATTTTAAATCTTCGTGCAAGTGTCAATTTACCCTTTTTAATCTACTCTTTCTATTCTTGTCTTTTGTGATATTGACAGACTACTCTGATTTTATTGGCTTTAGCTCTTGGTAAATCCAAATCTGCAAACATTTCATCTATATTGTGGTTTACTACTTGATATGAAACACGTCTTCCAACTGAACAGGTTCCCATTGTGTATGAAGAAGTATTCTAATGATTACAGGAAAGATATCATATATAATATTAAGGATAAGATGATACTCAGCTTCAAAAAGATGCAGCAGATCTGATGTTAAAGATATAAATATGTAAGTTAATGGTATTACTGGCAGAGCAGAACTCTGTAATCATGGATTTTTAGATTTTTTGAGCTGCCAGACCAATTATAAGTAATACTAAATTAGGATGAACCAAGTAGTATTTAATCATATTACTGTACTTTTTATTAAATTGAAATTTTTTAAAGTTTTATGTCTCATAGATCGAAGGTAGAATGAAAACATTTTGATATATAATATAAGCATCGATCAGTACTATTATGAATTTTGAGTTCATAAATGGAGTTCAATAATAGTTAACTGAACTGAACAGTAATGAAGAGATATTGTTTTTTTTTGTATTTTTATTGTTATACCGATGGAAATGATCTGTTTATCTAACGAATTTTTAAAAAATGTTTTTAGAGAGAAAACATGTAATTCACTGTGAACCTTTTAACAACTATGACATCCAATAAAGGATGTTTTCAAAAAAAAAAATACAAAATATTTGTAGGATGTATATACTTTTTATACTGATCTGATTTTTCTCTCTTTC